GCTCACACCTGTCTATAATCCTAACACTCATGAGAATACAAGTTCAAGGCCAGCCTGGGCTACACAGTGCAAGTTCCAAGCTACAGCGACCCCGTTGCCAAAACAACAAAACAAAACTACACTAAAACGAAAAAACAGTCTTTCCTCCTTATTTAACAGAGGAGGAAAAGTTACCCAGAATTTATGCCTGTTTAAAGTTGAAGGCTTTCAGCAGACAACATGGCATAGCTTTCAAAATGAGAGCTGGTTTTGTCGTGAGTGGGAAATACACATGGCACTAAGACACACTACTGCATCTCACACACAGGGAAACCTGGACTGTATTCTCAACTGCTCTCATAATCTTTGCTTGGATCTAGTCTCAAAATAGAGGTGAAACTCCCCCCCCATCACGCCAGCCTGACTCTGGCAATCAATGCTGGCCATAGTAGGGTAGGGGTAGAGATGACCCAAAACAACCAGAGAAACTAAAGAAGCTATTTATTGATTGTCTAAACTTTGAAACTACTACAGATGATGGTATTAAGAAACATTTCTAGCGGGGCTGGAGAGATGGCTCAGTGGTTAAGAGCACTGAATGCTCTTGTAGAGGACCCGGGTTCGATTCCCAGTACCCACATGGCGGCTACAAACCATCCTTAACTCCAGTTCCAAGGGAATCCGAAGCCCTCTTCTGACCTCTGCAGCATTGCACGACACGGGTGTATTCACATACATGCAGACAATACATTCACACACATAAAATAAAAATAATAAATAAAAAATACATATATAAAAAATTTCTAGATTTAATTTTTCAAAAAATTTTTTTTCGGACAGGGTCTGACAAGCTCCTCTTGAATTCCTGATCCTCCTGAGTGCTGGAATTACAGGCCTGCGCCACTATGCTTAAAAGAACCCCCAAACAAAACATTCCAAAGGTTTGCTTTTACTCTTGTATTAAAGAGATGTACACAGGAATATTTGCTTTACTTCACAGGCTGACAGGTACATAGCGGAATCAAAGAGAGCTGTTTCTAGAAAGGATACTGTAAAGTCTGGTGCCCTTTCAACAATGAAAAAAAAGTTTCTTGTTGGTAGTATTAGAAAAGATACAGAACATAATTTGATAGATAATTTTGCAAATATAGCAAGATTAAAACCACAGAGAAGTTATGGATGACAGGCAGTGAAATAAAAGAGAGGATTTGTTTAAGAAACTTTAAAAAACAATTTATTTTTCTTATTTTTATGTGTGTGAGTGTATTGCCTGCATGTATGTAAGTGCATCCATGTCATGCAATGCCCATGGAGATCAGAAGAGGGCGCTGGATTCCATGGAACTGGAGTTACAGATAGTTGTCAGACACCATGTGGATGCTGGGAACCAAACCTGGGTCCTCTGCAAGAACAGCTAGTGCTCTTAACCTCTAAGCCATCTCTCCAGCACCATTTATGAAATTTTTGATGATCATAGTAATTAATAAAACTATGCAGAAATACTGTGCCAGGGGCTGTGGAGGTAACTCAATCAGTAAAGTGCCAAACAATCTTGAAGACTTAAGTTTAATGCCCAGAACCATGTAAAAAACCTGGGCATGTAGCATGAATTTATAATCATAGCACTCGGGAGGCAAAGACTGGCAGATCCCAGGGGCTCACTAGCCAGCTGGCCTCGGTTAACTGGATGAGTTTCAGGCCAAATGAGACATTGTCTCAAAACTCAAAGCTCCAGAGGAATGGCACCTAAAGTTGTCTTCTGGCCTCTACACACACACATGGATACATGGATACCTACATTCACATGAATGAATGAATACACACACACACACACACACACACACACAGAATAAAAAAAGACCATACAAGTTAGAGTGGTGGTACATGTTTGTAACCTCAGCACTTGGGTGATAGAAGCAGGAGAATCAGGAGTTCAAGGTCAGCCTTAGTTATACAGAGTTTAAAGACAGCCTGGGTTATATGAACCTCTACCTCAAACAGACAAAACAAAACCTCAAGCACATGTATACACACAAAACCTATTCTTAGGGCTGGGGATACAGCTCAGTAGGCATCGGTCTAGCATTTTCAAACCCCTAGGTTCAATCTCCAATAACATAAAATAACAAAACAAAGGCTGGACATGGAAGATGAATGCCTATAATCCCTGTAACTGGGAGGGCTGAAGACTGCAAGATCCAGGTTGTCTGGGATAGTGAGACTCTATCACAAAATACACAAGGCCCAATCCAACCAAACTAAACCAAAAAATGAAAAAAGAAAAAGGAAAGGGAAGGAAGGGAAAGACAAAACAGAAAACCCACAACCTATTCCTAGGAATTTTCTAGTTGACATGTCAAGGATTTGTCTATGAGTATTCAGTAATTTCAAATCCTTACAGAGTCAACACCATTTTGATAAGTGATGGTGGCTGAGGGTTGGAGGAAGTTATGGTAAGCTCTTATTAACTACGAGTGATGAAAGAATAAATTTCAAACAACCGAAAATCTAGTTATTACAATGTGGTACAGGGGCTGGAGTGTGGTGGTGATAAGGTGGCTCAGTGGTACCATACTAGCCTGGTATGTATAAGGCCTGGGTTCAAATCTCTAGTATGAGATAGGGAAACATGGTACAAAATGAAATTAGCAAAAACAAAATTCTTAAAATCATTTTCTTTAATAGTCTTGTTAAAAATATTTTATTATTATTTTATGTGTATGAGTATATTACCTTCATGTGTGTAAGTGCATCTGTGTCATGCAATGCATGTGGAGGTCAGAAGAGGGCACTGGAGGCCCTGGAACTGGAGTTACAGATGGCTATTAGCCACCAAGTAGGTGCTGGGATTGAACCCAGGTCCTCTACAAGAACAGTCAGTTCTCATAACCACTGAGATATATCTCCAGCCCCTAAAATATTTTATTAATTTTATTTTATGTGTATGAGTGTTTTGCCTGCATGTGTGTAAGTGCACCATGTGCCTGCAATGCCCTGCAAAGGCCAGAAGAGGATGTCAGATCCCCTGGAACTGGAGTTATGGACAGTTGTTGGCTGCCATGTGGGTGCTAGGAATTGAATTCAGGTCCTCTAGAAGAACAGCAAGCGTTCTTAACTGCTGAGCCATCTCTCTAACCCCCTTTTTAAGATTCTTAAAATCCTGCAGTGCATTTGCTTTGCCATCAGTACCACCTACTGGTACTTTGCACAGTATGGTACCAATTAGTCACAAGAAGCCAACTGAGTACCTTGAAACATGACTGGTTTGAACTGAGATGTACTATCAGTGTAAAATTACACTGAATTTGAGACTTAGTGGGGAAAAATAGAAATGTAAAGCTTAAGTCATTAATAACAGAAAATATTGATTATACCTTAAACAATATTTTAAACATTAAATATATCATCAAAATCATTTTAGCTTTGAAACATGTGGCTACTAGAAAAAAATCTAAAATTAAAACATGGGTTTTAGGAACTTGAGAAGTAACTCAGTTGAGTTGTGGTTAGAATTCATAAAGCCCTGGGTTCGATTCCCCAGCACCTTATAAACTGGGTGTGGTGGTACATCCTATAATTCCAGCACTCAGAATGTGGAGGCAGGAGCAGAAGTTCAAAATCATGCTTGACTACACAGTGTGCTTGAGTTCCAGGTCAGCCTGGGACACCTGAGTCCTTGTCTCAAAAAACAAGTGAGTTGGGAGTGAGGCTTAGTGATAGGGCAAATGGTTAGCATTGGTGAAGCCTTGATTTTATCCTCAAAACCAAAAACATTGTTTTTGGTGATTGTGACAATTCTACTGTATGGTACTAACCTAGGAAAATAAACTTATCAGAAAACACTTTAATAATGGCATTTGCTAATCTATTTAGTAGCTAAGACCTCCTTCTCTCAGATAACAGAAGCAGACCCAGGTTGAGCAAAGGGTTTCCTCCCTTCCTTCCCTGTCTCTCCTCTCTTAGCCCCATCTAGGACGAAGAAGCAGTAAGCCCAGGTTCAGTTCCCAGTACCCACATGATGGCTAACAACCTCCATAACTCCAGTTCCAGGGGATCAGATGCCTTTTGTGCAGGCAAAACACTCAAGCACATAAAATAACAATATAGCCATGGTGTCAGCATGTACAAGACCCATGTAAACTCAAATAGGCAAAAGCCCAGCACAGAACTGTGGGAATGGGCAGCAGGCCCTAATCTTAGTCAAAGAATTATTGACAGCTGATTACTGCTGGGTGAGGAAGAGCTAATCTTCTTAAAGGGAGGGACTTTAGATAGGCTGACTAGACCCCAGTGGATGAACTTGCAATGAAGGACATCTGGGGACACTAACTTGACATGATAGGCCTTAACACAAATGACAGAATGTATAAATTCCAGTGGGAAGGTGCCAATGGGGAAGGGGGTATAAAGATGATTAAGATGTTCTGTATGAAATACACAAAATTTCAATAGTTTTACAAAAAAAAAAAACAAATAAAATTTTAAAAAAAGAAAAACTATAACTGTAAAGTAATACCAAGTTATTTTCTCTGCATTTTTAATGAATGCTGAAATAAATATTGCCTGGGATTTTACACTAGACGTTTCTAAAATACTGTTCCAGAGAATACTGGAATGAGGCTAAGGCAGAATTTAAGACCAGTTTGGGCTATACAGAGATACCCTGTCCAAAAAAATAAATGCTGGGTGTGGTGGCGTACACCTATAATCTCAGCACTTGCACAATGGAAACAAGAGGATCAGAAGTTCAAGGTCAGCCTGGGTCCCTGAGACCCTATCTCAAAACAAACCCTACTTTTTCTTTTGATTTATTTATCTTGATACTGATTATCTGCCCTAATTAAAAAATATTATATATATATAATACATATACATATATTAGAGTAATTCCCTTTGAGACCAAATAGGACAGAGTTACCTTTTGGCTAACCACTGTTAATTTTGTCAATGGTCACTTGTTAACATCCACCCAAAGTGAAGCATCCCAAACCCCGAAAACCTCATGTTTTTCCACTGCTTACCTCAATGGCAACACTGGTTTCTTTATTTTTAAAAAGCTGGAGCTCTTCCAATTGCTGCTTTTCTTCATCTGTCAAAACTGTAACTACGTCTTCAGAAGGATCCTTTAACCATGAGAACACACAGTGAGTCACACACAGAATCCAAAGACAGTGAAATTCTAGGAAGTGCTATTTTTATACAAAAGATGTTTTCAAGAGAGATTCTACCTCTTCATCCACTGGTACAGACAAGTCATCCAAATGGCTGATCCGTCCATCTTTTCCTATTTCATGAACGATGAAGTCAGAGTACCTAATGAAAAGAAAACACAAGCCTTTTTTTTTTTTTTTTTTTGGGTCTTTTGGAAACGGGGTCTCTCTGTAGCCCCAGCTGTCCTAGAACTCACCATGTAGACCAGGCTGGCCTTGAACTCACAGAGATCTGCCAGCCTCTGCCTCCCGAGTGCTGGGATTAAAGGCATGTGCCACCATGCCTGGCATGGCTTTAAGAAATGAACATTTTACTTCCTACCAATTTTAGGACAGAGTTTACTGTCATGCAAAACAAGAGATTAAAAAAAATTTACTGTAAAGTAATACCAAGTTATTTTCTCTGCATTTTTAATGAATGCTGAAACAAATATTGCCTGGGGTTTTAAACTAGATTTTCTAAAATATCTTTCCAGAGAATATTGATAAATGCAAAACAAAAGTTTATCAATATTTGAGGCTGGGGAGATGGCTCAGAAGTCCTTAAAGTACATTCGTGTGTGTGTGTGTGTGTGTGTGTGTGTGTGTGTGTGTGTGAAGGCTAGAGATTAACTTGAATTTGATCATTATACCCTGAAGCCATGTAAAAAAGTCAAGTGTGGTGGCACATGCCTATAATCTGCTGGGGGTTGGGGGTGGGGCACAGAAACAGGAGAATCCCTGGGGCTTGCTGGCCAGCCAGTCTATCTGAACCTGTGAGCTTCAGGTTTAGTGAGAGACCCTGTCTCAAAATGTAATGTAGCTGGGTGTGGTGACAAATGTCTTTGATCCCAGCATTGGAGAAGCAGAGACAGGAAGAGCTCTAAGATCAAGGCCAGCCTCACCTATGGAGGAGCTGGGGTTACAGGGAGACCTTGTCTCAAAAAACCAATAACAACAACAATAATAATAATAATAAATTAAAAATAAAAAAAATATTGTCCATTTTTTGGATTTGGATACTGAGGCTCAGAGGTGTTGAGTAACTATTAAGTAGCTGAACTTGATCAAGACCCAGATCTCTCTAGCTCCAAATGCCAACTTCCTTCTACTTCAGATATGGTATATTCAGATGAAAGAGTTTAAATTATAAGATGAATTCAGGGGGCTGGAGAGATGGTTCAGAGGTTAAGAGCACTGGCTGCTCTTGCAGAGGACCCGGGTTTGATTCCCATCATCTACACAGTGGCTAACAACTATCTATATCCAGGGGATATGACACCCTCTTCTGACCTCCTCAGGCATTGCACAACATTGTGCACTCACACACATGCAGGCAAAATACTCAAACATAAAATAAAAATAAATAAATAAGCCGGGCGTGGTGGAGCATGCCTGTAGTCCTAGCACTTGGGAGGCAGAGGCAGGCGGATCTCTGTGAGTTCAAGGCCAGCCTGGTCTACATAGTGAGTTCTAGGACAGCTGGGGCTACAGGGAGACCCTGTTTCAAAAAGACCAAAAATAAATAAATAAATAAATAAATAAATAAATTCAGAAGAAAATTGTAAATGTTGAAAATAATTTAGCAAAACCAGGGCTGGTGAGATGGCTCAGTGGTTAAGAGTACTGGCTGCTCTTCCAGAGGACCAAAGTTCAATTCCCAGCACCTACAGTGGCTAACAACTGTTTGTAACACCAGTTCCAAGGGATCCAATGTTCTCTTCTAACCTCTGTGGTCACTGCACACACAGGTGTGTTTATATACAAGCAGGAAAAACACTCATACATGTAAAATAAAAATAAATAAATCGAAAATAAAAATTAAAAGAATTTAACAAAACAAATAATACCCTCCCACATATTAACAATGTGTATCACTGGTAAATGATTTTTAGTCACTCGAGCAGTTCTGGGAAGAATGTTTTTTGATAAGAACTAAGAATTGACTGTGAGCCAAGGCAGATAATGAATCAAAATCAAACTGGGTTATGCAGCAAGAATCTATCAAGAAAGAAAGACAGAAAAAAGACAAAAGAGAGAAAGAGGAGACTTCTATTTAAAATATCAAGGGTATAATTTAGTAGTAAAGTGCTTTCTTAAGTTGCATGAGGTCCTAGTTTCAGATCCTAGCACCACAAAAAGTAAAAACATTAAAAAGTCAAGACCATTTATTTAGAAAGTTCTACTTTATTCTATCCCTTTTTAAAAAATATTTTTTATTATTTTTATTTTATGTGTATGAATGCATTGCCTGTATGCATGTAAGTGCACCTGAATCATGTAATGCCTGCAGAGGTCAGTCAGAAAAGGGCATCGGATTCCCTGGAACTGCAGTTACAGATGGTTGTTACCCACCATGTGGGTGCTGGGAATTGAACCCAGGTCCTCTGCAAGAATAGCAAGTGCTCTTAACTGCTGAGCCATCTCTCCAGTCCATTCTATCCCTTTTTGACCATAAGTATAAACCATCCTTGGGGTTAGAAAGTTAAATGGGAAGCTGGGTGTGAAGGCACACAGCCAAATTTCTAGCACCTGAAGGCTGATGACTGAGCATTCAAGGTCAGCCTGGGCTACACAGCAACTTCTGGGCCAATTTGGGCTAGAGAGGCTCTGCTCAAAAAACTAACTAAATTCTTTTAATATAAAGAAAGAAGGAAAGAAGGGAGAGAGGGAGGAAAGTTAAAAAAATTAATACAAGTAAAACAAATATATAAAGTAAACACACCTTTCTTTTAAGATTCCTGAAAATCCTTGATGAGAACTCACAAACTTGGTGATGCCTACATCAAGTTCAGTGAGGCCATGCTTCATCATGTCTGCAAAACTCTCTGGCTCCTCCTCCTGCCCTGCCTCAGAAAGGCCATCTTCCTCCTCTTCTTCTTCTTGCACCTGACCACTGAAATTCTTTTCACCTTTCTTGGCACTTTCAACTTCTGGAGGCCCAGGCTTGATCTCACTACTCGGCAGACAGTCATTCTCTGCCCCATCTTGAGATCTGGTCAGACAGCACTCTGAGACCTTCTGTTTTTTTGTCTCCTCAGGAGCCACACTATCATTATCTTCCACAGCAAGGCACCCGCGTTTCAGGGACATGCTTGTCATTTCCATCTTTAAGCTTCCAAGAAAACATTTAAGAGAATCTGTCCAGAAAGAAAAAAAAAATAGAAAATAAAAATTCCCGTAGAGAAGTTAGTTTCAACAAACAGGTAGTTAACTTTGTTCAGAGACCCAAAAATTCATTTATTAAAACTGATATAACTGTGACACAGCATATTTTTTTAAAAATATTTATTTTTTTTATTTTATGTATATACATGTATTGCCTGCATGTAGGTAAGTGCACCCATGTTGTGCAATGCCCGTGGAGGAGAGAAGAGGCTGTTGGATCCCCTGGAACTAGAGTTTACAGACAGTTGTTAGCTGCCATGTGGATGCTGGGATTCGAACCCGGGTCTTCTACAAGAACAATCAGTGTTCTTAACTGCTGAGCCGTCTCTCCAACCCCTAGCACATAATTTTGATAGGCTAGAAACTTGGCACATGGGTTTGAGTGGACTCTTAACAATGTGCATCAAAAATCTTAAAATCATATACATCCTTTTGAGCCAGAAACATGTTTTTCAGGGTTTATCTTAAGAAAATAATTTAGAAGGTACTTAAAGTTTTAGCTATTTAATACTCATTTCACTGGCTTTTTAATTTATAAAAGATTAAGAGGGAAACCTGGTAATATAAACTGAACAATATGTAAATACAACTGACTAGAAATTGGGAAGGTAGTTACTTTCAGGGGCAGGTCTGGTGGACAGCATTCATTGTTTTCACTGAATACCACAGTTGCTTTCTTATAATTTTATCCCAAATATATGCAATTTCTTTTCAAAACTGATGAAATACAACAGCATATAAATGTGTTTATTGACATGAAAGCATACTCACACCATACTAAGAGTAATGGGAAGTTGTATAATGCCTATAAAGTTTTAGCTTTGCAAGATAGAAAGTATTCTGGATACAAACTAGAAAGTATAAATATAACCAGATAAGGTGGCACACATATATAATCAGCACCTGGAAGGTAGAGACAGGAAGTTTAGGAGTTCAGGACCAGTCTCAGTTACAGAACAAGTTTGAGGCTAGCCTGGCCTACATGAAACTCTTATCTCAAAACAACAGCAGGTGTCTGGGAGTTGATTCAGTAAGTAAAGTGGAGGCTCTGAGTTTGATTTTTAGTAGCCATGTAAAAAAAAAAAAAAAAATCCAGATACAATGGCAAGGCTGAGACAGTAGGGTACCTGGGCTTTATGGCCAGTCAACTAGCCAAAATGGTGAGCTCCAGGTTCAGTGAGAGACCCTGTCTCAAAAAATAAGATGGAGGAAGAGTGGTTGTTGAAGAAATTTGAAATTGACCTCTGGCCTACACATAGACACAGACAGGGATACACATAGAAACAAAAATTTTTAAAGTGAAAAATTCCAGAGTGTAAATATATCAGGTTGGATTTTAATACTTTCCCAGTGCAGAGGAGCTCAAGAGAGGAGTAAACACATGGTAATCAAAATAAATGTACTCAGGATCATGGATGCCTATCTAATTTGATCTTAAATGAAACTCTTTGTGAAATAAGGATGGAAGGTTCTCCTATTTTTATTATATAGAGAGAAAAGTAAACTAATGAACTGAGCAAACACAGCCATAAAAAAATATAAATGAACAGAAAATGAATATTCTAATCCTATAGGGGGTGGCTAATGAAAAAACAGAAGCATTTATAGTAAAATAATAAAAAACTAAATTTTAAGAATTGGCATTTGGCCTGGTGTGGTGGCTCACTCTCACTTCCAACACTTGGAAGGCAGATGCAAGCAGATCTGTTTGAGCGCAGCTTGGTCTATATAATGAATTCCAGGCCAGCCAGGGCTACATGGCAAAACTCTTGTGTCAAAAATAAAAAAGGAATTTGCACTTATCTTGCCTCATGGCACAGACATGACTACATAAGCCAGTTTTGGTGACTGAGGACTAAGATGGCATAAAAGAGGGTAGAAGGTAGGTGTTTGGGGTAGGGAGTACAACATGTGCCCAAGTAGGAAGGCACAGGAGAATAAGGAACATTAGAGGAACATATCTTCATCTCCTCGCTATAAAAGGAAGACAAACTACCACCAAGTCTGGATGGAAAGCTGAAGTAAAAGTCCTATCAGGCTATACAGAGGAATTACATCCTGAAAACCAACCCACACTGGATTCATGAATTAAGAGGAGAAACTGGAGTTAGGCTGAGGGTACAGCTATAATCCAGGCAAGAAATTAGTACAAATTGATCTAAGACTGAAGCAAAGGGCAGTGAGCAGAACCTTCAAGAACATCAAGGAAGTGGTAGGGACAGGTCTGGGTAATAAATGCGCAGAAAAAAAAAAACTGTATCCAAGCATGTCCCACCTTTTGATATAGCTGTTATTTATATTATCTGCAAACTGGGTGTGATGGCTCATACTTTTAATCCCAGCACTTAGGAGGCAGAGGCAGGCAGATCTCTGTAAGTCTGAAGCCAGACTGGTCTACATACTGAGTTCCAGGCCAGTAAGGGCTACATAGAGAGACATTGTCTCAAAGAACCAAAATAACAACAATAATGCTTATGTATGAATATCACACAATTGAGTTATGAAAAAAGAGGAAACTTTTACCCTCCCACCAAAGTCCTATATTTTAAATAAGTTGGTGACTTTGTGTTAAGCCATATTCATGGCTGATCTCAGTCACATAATACCCATGGGCTCTAGGCTGGACTTGCATACTGGGTTTCCTGCCTTAGAGACCTGAGAGGCTAAAGAAGGTATTCCTTATATGGGAACCTGAGAAATATGAGCAGGTGATGGGAGAAGATGAATCCATCAATAGCCTATCAGTGCTGTATGGATCGGAAGGACACTCAAGAAGAGATATTCTATAGGCTTTCATTATGTCATACATACCTTTACCCCAAATGTTGAAATCTCCCCAATTATTATACAGAACCCTAATTGGAATCAAAAGATTTAACAGGAGATCCTGATATCCTTTCAGAGGCCAGAACTCCCAGCAAAGAGGCAAACACAGCCAGCAAAAGTCTGGCTCAGGGACTTTACAACCATACCATCCACCGCTCTCCCTTTATGCAGAGAGAACATCAGACTTCCTCTACAACTGGGAGCCAGAATCTAGGTCCCACAGATCCTAGGGACCACTTACCCTCTCTAAGCCTTTGGAAAACTAAAATATGTCTTAGTCAAAGGTCTCTAATATCTCCTCCTGTTCAACTTTGTTCAATAGCATTACTACTTCTCGGAGGAGGGGACAGGACACACAACTAGAATACTTCTTATGCTTCTTTGATTCCTGGACTAAAGCTAATGAGGAAGCATGGTTTGCTCCGTCACATACTTTTGTTTTTGTTTTTTTGAGACAGGGTTTCATGCAGTTCAGTCTGGCCTTTAACTCTAGATCCTCCAGCCTCATTATTCCAAGTGTTGGCATCACCACACCCAGCTACTACTTAATTTTAAGAGGGTTTCAGAATACTGTCTCTAGACTTACAGGCCTGGTGGTGCAGGTCTTCGATCCTAGCACTCGGGAGACAGAGGCAGGTTTATCAAGGCCAGGCTAGGACAGTCCACATAGAGCTCTAGGCCATCTGGGACTACACAGTGAGGTCCTGTTTCAAAAACAAAAGCAAAAAAATAAAAAATAAAAAGTCTGTATGCTGGCAGTCTTTTTCTTCATATACCAAATTGCAAAGACAAGCTTGTTACTAACCTCATTGCTTCAAACAAAGTTCTATTTTTCATTTGTATTTGGTATCACACATTAATTTTTTTTTCAAGGATTTTTTTTTTTAAAGCTCTAACAGCTCTGGGTTAGATAGGCTTTTTTTTTTCCAAATATTTTATTTATTATTTTATGTGTACGAGTGTTATGCCTGCATGTAAGTAAGCACACCTGTGTTGTGCAATGCCGGCGGAGGACAGAAGAGGCTGTTGGATCCCCTGTTAATGGAGTTAAGGACAATTGTTAGCTGCCATGTGGGTGCTGGGATTCAAACCCAGGTCTTCTGCCAGAACAGTCAGTGTTCTTAACAGCTGAGCCATCTCTCCAGCCCCACACATTAATTATTAAAGCATACATCCAGCACCAATGATTCTACATTATTTAGTATCTGTTCTAAGTTAGTCCTGTGGTTCTAAAGCTGAGAATAGATTTCCTAGAACAGCTGTACAAACTTCTAGGCAATGAAAATCAGAGGTGTTTTTACAAGTAAGAAAGATTATGAAAGAAAAGATTGCCTAGTGTGGTTGGTGGTACACAGCTGTGATCTCAGCCCTAGGGAGGCAGAGGCAGAATTGCTCCAAGTTCAGACCAGCCCAGGCTACAAAATGAGATCCTGCTGAAAGGAAGGGAGGGAGGGAGGGAAGGAGGGAGGGAGGGAGGCGAAGAAATAGAATTTTTAAAGATTCAAGAGGCAGATGTATTTCTGTGAGATGGAGGCCACCTAGTCTACATAGTGAGTTCCAGGCCAGCTGGGGCTATAGGGAGACCCTGTCTCAAAACACAACAACAAAAAATATTCAGCCAGAAATATGGAACCTTGACTGTGCCAGGTGAGAGGCCAAGGATTGAGTTTTGTATGCAGGAAAATAGAAAGGTACACATGGATTCAATCTTGAACATATAAAGTGACTGGCTTAAGGGGGAGAGGGTAGAAGCACCTTTGATCTTCTTTATGTTGTATTTTGAAAAATATTTTTAGCACATGACAGGTGCACTTACACACACACAGGCAAAACACTCATACACAAAAATAATAAATATTTTTTAAAAAAGAAAAATATTTTTAAAAGAAATATGAGGGCTGGAGAGATGGCTCAGGGGTTAAGAGCACTGGCTGCTCTTGCAGAGGACCCAGGTTTGACTCCCAGCACCCACATGGCAGCTAACTACTGTCTGTAACTCCAGTTCCAGGGGATCCAGCACCCTCTTGTGATCTCTGTGGGCACTGCATGACACAGGTCCCTTCATATACATGCAGGCAATATACTCATACACATAAAATAAAAATAAATAATTTTTTTAAAAAAAGGAATGTCATATGTTGGCTGCTCTTGCAAGCAAAACACTCATATACATAAAATAAACAAATCTTTAAAAAAGAAAAGAAATGCTGTACTAGGGTTGGAGAGATGGCACAGCAGTTAGGAGCACATACTGTTTTTCCAGAGGACCCAAGCTCAATTCCCAGCAACCAAGTCAGGCGGCTCAGAACCAGCTCTAAGTCCAGCTCCTAGGAGATCCAACTCCTCTGGCTTCTGAGAGCACCTGCACCCCCACTGATACGTCTCATGAACCCAAAGCCCTATGTATTTTTTTAGAGGGAATGCTAAAATAATTGGCTGTTTCCCCCTGCATTCCAATTGTGCCAAATGAGAATGGAAGTAATACAACTTTACCAGCATTTACAGAACACTTTTCATTCAAATACGTTCACCAACCAACTTTTGTGCATTTTTGAAACAGGGTCTTGCTGTGTGGTCCAAACTGGTCTGTCTGTCTTTCCATCCATCCATCCTTCCTTCCTTTCTTCCTTCCTTCCTTCCTTCCTTCCTTTCCCTCCCTCCCTCCTTTCTTTTCTTTCTTTCTTTCTTTCTTTCTTTCTTTCTTTCTTTCTTTCTTTCCAAAAACTTTGAGAATTTCATACATGGATATAAGGTGTTTTGACCAAATCTATGCCCATGCCCTCCCCTCCAACATTCCCCCCTCTGAAGAGGTAACCTTAAAATCTTTTAAGGATTAGATACAAGCTCCCAAAAACTTTTGACATTTTTGGCCTTTGGAAAAGAGTATGTTGCTAACAGGCCCAAGGACATTTTGACTTTTAGCCAAGAAACTGGCTACATTTCTTTGGGGTCTTTTTACCCTAACTGCCTAGCCAATTCCTACCTCCTATTCTTATCATACCATCCTCTGAAGGGGTTACCCAAT